AGATTGCGACTTTCATTAAACGGACTATTAGATAGTATGTTACAAATTTAAGTGCAACTCCAGTAAATTAATTCACTTTTAATGGGATTAATCAAAATTCAATCATCCAAAGTTCGAGTCGTAAATTGTTAACAAGTGGAAAGAAATTGTTGAAATTATCGGCTGTTTACCAACCTTCACATTTTCACTTTTCTGCGTGAAATTTAAAGATTGGCTTGATTGATTTCACAATAACAATCTAACTATATACAGTATATGCATGCAATCTCTTGGGGTTTCGAACAAAGTTAGGTATAGAATTAGGATCATAAGACATGTGTCATTAATTGATGTCTATAATTATCAAGAAATATACAATCTCTATCTTAAATAAAAAAAAATGATGCAGTTAGAGCATTTCGCTTGGACCACACTACACGATCTATACGATTAGGGTATTCTGGAAGGGTAATCATGCCAACCGTTCCATCCATTTGTGACAATTAAACCTTCCGTCTCCGAAAACCATATATTTTCAGATTTGTCGCACCATATAGTATTGCTTACTTGTAATTTTTACTATAGCATAAATATAGATATATGCTTATATATATATAATGCCAAATTTATATTACAGTAGAATTCAACATAAAGCCATCAATCATGTTAGTTCTAGAGCCCATAGATGATAATTAATAAAAAAGGAAATGAGAGTAATAGGTCTAGGTATATAAATCATATTTACCAGGAAATTAATAGTTGACATCATACGTGTTCTATCTAGCATCTGGTATTATTGATATAATTAATACAATCAATCTAATAGAAAAATCATACATACGCATTTATTACCGTACTTAACCCGATCAACTGCTTAGATTTAGATTATGTAGTACTTGACTTGTCTAATAAAGGTAATTTTTGATTTGTATCATGTTAATTTAGTTAATAATGAAATAAATAATGATCAGTGAAAAAATAGCTCAACCGATTAGTATTAAGCTCCTGGGTTTAGATAACAATCACATAGCGGGCAGAGCATGCTCACTATTCCGAAGATGCCACCCTGTGATTGAATTTGTCAATTTCGGAGAGTCCACATTGTTTATTTCATATATCTAATATACACCAATAATTGTTAATACTAGTTTTTGGTGATGCTGTGGTCAGCATATTGCAATCTTTGCTCCTTTAAAATGGATACATCCATCTTTTTACTTCTTAACAGGCAGGTCTAATAATGAAACATGGCAAACTTCTTTTGATCTTGTCTCATTTAGCCCATTTGATACATAAATTGGATGCACTCTAAAACAGTTTAAGTGTAAATCAATGACTGGTTGACTGCGACATATTAAACAGAAATTTTATAATATACAAACATTACTGGACCTTGAAGAAAAATGCAAAAACATAACCAAAAAAAGAATACAAAGAGCAAAAGAGACTGTAGTTATAGAAGTCATGAGCTGCATGAGTAACTTTGGATTCAAACCAACAACTTTCCATCTTATCTGACATTGAAATCAAATAACATTTTATTCAATTATTTTGATTATGTTGATCACTAACAGTATGTATTGCTTAATTGACCTTGCCAACTAAACATCATCCAAATCAGATGGTAAACGTTGATTATGAAGTAAACTTTTCTTTTGAAGACACCTGTAGGGCAGTCTATTGACGTGTATAACTTATTTTTATCAGAGAGTTGTTAATAAAGGACCGTGTTCAAGAAATCTTATTATTTATACTAATTTACATTTGCGATTAATACATTTTTGTCTTGCCTTAGATCTAGGTGTTCATGGCTGCGAAATTGTTTCCCATGATCACTGTTGGCTGCAGTATTTTCTGCTCTGTGCCTTATCGCTCTACAAGACTGACATGAAAGAATCACTTCTGTGATTTTTGATCTATTAAATAAAGTCAATGCTTTAAAATAGGGTTTATATCTTTACGCCTTTATATACTTATGAACATCATGAACATCTTTAATAATAATGTACTTACTATCTTCATATTTTTGTCGGTAAAAGTAATGATAATTTTTAGTGCATTAGTCATTTCCTTCCTATGAGTTTCAACCAAAAATGACGCAAATTTTGGACAAAAATTTACTATTGTAAAAATTAATTTACAAAATGAAACTATGTGACCATGTTTATAATGTTTTTTTTTTACCATCTCAGAGTTTTTATTACTTTTATCAGTACTATTTTCGAAAATGATATCCCAGTTCACATAATGGCTAAAGTAGTAGCTGGTATATTACGAGAATTACACCCTTTAAAGCTTGAATCCATGTATAAGTATTTCTATCTATAAGATATGCCTAGTATTAGTATACAAAGAATGTCATAAACGTTACATTTGGTGAGATATATATATCTTATTTTGACTGATGATTTGAGTGGGAGCTGTCAAAATTTTCTTTATGGTTGAAATACACATGTTTATAACGTGTTAACTATGCATAGCAAGCCTCTGATTAGTGTTCGGAGTTTTTAACCCCAAAAGTTGCACTAAAGGACTCTTATCATTTCCAATTAAATATACGTTGAAATTGGTGCATAAGCTTATAGAGTGATATTAAACAGATTTGTGTTGAAGAATTTTGGAAATTAACTTTCGACCCTGTTTATTGCGAGCTTCTTTACAAACAGAACGTGATTAAAAGAAGTGATTATGTTGCAATTTGGTATTCGGGAAATTAACACAGTTCTGCAAGAAAGATTATCCCTGATCTTGTGTCTGTTTGATTGCAGTAAGAAATATTGACTTTTGTGTCATAATTACATCAATAAATCAAAGAACTTTAACAAAAATAGAGTTAGTATTGAAAGGGATTTTATAACGAGAAATTCTCAAATATTTGACTGTTACAAAAAACAAATGTTGACGTTATGGTAAACACTGGATATATAATAGGTAGATACGCTGTACATTAGTATCCAAGAGTGAACAGCGAGACTGTGGTCTGTGCTATGATTTTCAGATTGCTCGGAAATTATTTGTGCCAGCTTTGAATCTGAACCTTACGAACAACAATGATGACGAACGTTTCTTGTTTGAAACCGACCAATCAAAGAGTTCGGAAATTAAGTTATGTTCCAGTTAAAATGCATCCTGTTAATTTCCATCCAATGGCACCACCTAGAAGACATCGGAGGCGCAAGATTTCTAGACATATGAAACGGAAAATATCTGCCATTATGGAAGAAACATTGAAAACTCTGGAAGGAATTTCTTCAGACACTGGTGAGTACGACTGTACGAATCTCTGAGCAGATCATTAATGTAGCCCACATGATTTGCAATTTCGTTTTTATCAGACTACTATAAATTGAAAAAATATAAAAAAAAACTTTGCCGTAATCTTGCAATAAAGGTTAAGGCACACGGATTCGGAATATCAGAAAAGCTTTTCAGGTGCTTTCGAGGTTTAGTACAGAAAATTTAATTAGACATAGATAGTACTCGTTTATACAAAGAATTGAAACCTAGAAAGGAGCTTGGTTGTTGAAATTGTCATCTTCTGAAACTATAAGCCTTTGAGATTCAAATAGACTACGTGGTCAAGAGAGTAATTGTATTGTCTAATATGGTATACATTTAGTCCACTTTGTACACGTTACAATGTATAATTACTCGGTACGGTATTAAGTTACTGTCTACTATAGATTATTTGTCCTTTCTGATTGACATGTCGAACCCCTCTTATTGACAATTTACATACTTCACCATTGATCTTTGTCTAAAGTAACAAATTATTTGAATTGATCTTAGACTAAGGTCAAAATTCTGATCACGCTACGGTTATATTTAAAAATATGTTTGCTAAGTATAGAAATAAAAGTATATATATTTTTTTTACATATTACCAAAAACACGTTATGTTATGAAAAATGAAAAAAGCATATTGTATGATGGCAACTGTGATTTTCGTCTGTCGCCGCTCTCAGGTCGACAAATTCTAGCGTTCTTCATGTTGCTTTCAGTGGCTGATAATGAAATCACTAAGTCCCGAGTCCTCGTTTTAAAAGGACACCAGTCCAACGAAGGTCTCTTTGCCGTATCTTGTTTTATATTTCAAGCGAAATATGTTGTTGGTTTTAAAAAGAGTTACTTCCCATGAACTTGTATGAACAACGAACAACAACAATCGTAAGTTCTGGTTCCTCCATATGTTTGACAATCTGTTTTTCCTAGTAAAATTATATAACTTTAAATTAACACCACAAGGACTAAAAATAAATCAGCTTTGGGTTAGGGTAATAATTTGAAAGTTGTAGGCCTACATCCTAAGAGTTGATGTTAATAAGTCTAAGTTATCTGTGGATATTTTAAGATAGTATATGAAATTATCAGGATAAAAGTGTTGGTGATATGTGTGAATCTTGGAATTAAAAAGATGATAAGTTCCGAAAATAAACTGAATAAACTGGTACTATTTCACTATTTAACATAATATACATGGCTAAGAACACATATATCTGATTTTATAATCAAGATGCATGTAAACCTTACAAATAACACTGTATTTTAGTAAACCATGATTGGTGACATTAAGGATGCAAGGCAGATAGCAATTACTGAATGGGAAAATGACTTTAATTAAGCCAAAACATTAACATACATTTACACATATAAATAAAATACAAATTAACTTAATTCTAAATAATGACAAATTAACTCCAACCCAAGGCTTGGATGTCCTTATCAGCAAAAACTTGTTTATTGAGCCAATTAGCACCACCGCTGCGAAAGGAGTGGCCACTAACCTTTAATCCTGATTTACCAAGAGCGATCAAAATTTCTTTAATTCTGGCCATAAAGTTACAATATTTGAGTGGGATGCCATCTTGAACACATAGTAAAGGGCCAAGGGGGTCAATCTCAGGACTGAATATGATATATGACTGTAAGGCAGTCACGGGGCATAGTGGATGGCCAATTATATGGCAACAATTGTACTTCTATTTCCCTGAATTGAATAGTTTTGGTACACCGAACATTGATCAAAATGCGTCAACTGTTCGTAATTCCCGTGAAGGGTCAAAAGTATTCTTAACTAGTACATTGTTGGCACGCAGGAGACCAAAAAAATCTATCAGACATGCTGCCCAATATGCAGCCTCTGTAACACAAGATAAGATAAGTACAGAGCGAAACTGTATCAAAATCATTGGTGTAATGGAAAATGCACGAGACTGAGCCATACTTAATTCTCGTTTCAATCCTAAAAACATCTGACCAACATTCCAATCGTTACAAACAGGATCTGGTATTCCTCAGCCTTATGCAACAGAGATACAATATTCAGATATTGCTTCACAGTAGCAAATTTAAGCAATTTAACTCAAAAAAGGAAAGCAATATACATTTGGAGACATTCAGATGTTGCAGGTTTGGGTTTAAAACAGTAAATGCTACAAAAGTCTTTATAAACTTTCAATTGAACGAAATAGTATGTGCTCTTTGTGGACAAAGCCCAAAACTGTGCACAAGAGTATAGAGTTTATCAAACATAGCTGGTTCATGCAGCCTGGAACATGCATCAGCAATGGCATTTCTAATTCCTGGGATGTAAACCGCATGAACAGATATATTATATATGGAAAAGAGCCAAAATAAATGTCGTAAAAGCCACATGATAGTTTTGTTTCTAGAGGATTCTTTATTATTAATAACCGACTTGGCTACAATATTTATCTGTATGTATAATAACTTATTTATTTTGTTTATTTTGTAACACATGACACCACCTTACTTAAGCCAAGTGAATGGCTTTACATTAATATGTTCATGGGACATAAAAGGTAGGTCTAGATTCCGGTTTGAATAATAAAAGTCTCCTTCAAAATGGCCATCTGCGCCGTGCAATGATGCATTAGTCTGGGTAGAATTCATTAGTATGTTGTCCAAAATCTTCATACTGTCATTAAAGTATTCTAAAAATTGTAACCACCAGTTTAATCTTGATAAAATTCTGCACTTAATTTTACCTTATGGGAACCAAGACCCAGAGAATCTATAAAAAATACCAAGTTTGTGTTTGCAAGCACGTTTACGTAAGGCAAAAGTGGCTAATATAACTTTAAAATCTGACAGATTCTCAGAGGCAATGAAAAGATCATTGACTCCGTATTAATTAGCACTACTTTAGTCCAGTTTATGCGAAAACCCAAAGTACGAAGAACAATCAATACAGTACTCAATGCGATACACACTCATCATATGTTGGGCTTATCACCAAAAAGTCGTCCAAATAGGCTATAACTATAATGTCAAACTTTGACTTCATTATCCTGCATACTGCACTGCTCAATGTCTGAAAAAAAATTTGGGCTTTTGGCCTCACCAACCGGTATCTAACATTGTATCTGGATCTACATTGTCATTTAAAGATTTACCGGGGGGTCTATTAGCATCATGAATTAAACGCATTTTATTGTTTGATTTCGGAATGGCAACTAATGCACTAACTACTTTTGGTTTTGTAAGACTTACAATAGAATTACCATGCTGGATTTCAGTTAAAATTTGCTGCGCAACATTATTATTAAATTGTGTCGCTGATCTATAATTGTCGCATTCCACCGATTCGATATTATTAGTAGTATCAATCAAAGTAAAACCATCCCGAATGCCTACCAACATAAATAAGTGTGATGAGTCATTAAAGGGCAGTAACTCCTGCCACGCTGCCAAAGTCAAATCACTATTAATCACATTTTGCACTTGATTAACCCACTCGGTAAATGTATTTATTTAGAACCATGTTTAATAGGTGGATGTTCTAAGTAGAATAAACAACAACAATGCTGAAATTTCCTGTCACAAGTTTCTGAATTATATTTTAAGCAAACTTCCTTCCCTGTTGGAGTAGTTGGTCCCCGATGACGTGTTCGGAATTCTTTTGAATTTACAGAGTAAGATGAATCGCGATACTTTTTCTGTGATGCCTCACCAGAAAGAGGTGTTTTGGGAATAAGTTGGAAATTATGTTCTCCATTTGAATTTAATTTTATTTTGCAATTCGCGATACTCTTTATCAAACATCAAGATACTATTTTTTTAAATATCTACTGAACAGACTGTATATTCCATGTATTCCACAATTTGAATAGTGGTAGAAAGAGAACCATCATTAATCAAAAGTTCCATAATTTTGGAATTAGCGTATCCCTATTGTTCTATTGAAAGTTAATCATATATAGGCCTATTCTTCTTATTCACAGTTAGTGAACCATCTTTTTGAAAGGAAACAAAGTCATCACTATCATCTCTATAACTGGGATCATCCCATAAATCATATAGGCTTTGTTCTCCTACCTTCTGTCCTGCCACTGTCTGTTACTCTGGACAATAATTGCTGGCTTAGTTGAGATCCCGTAGGATGAGTTGAGGTGTGTGTTGATTCAGATTGCAATATAAGAATCTCTTCCCTTTCTTTATTGATTTGCTTTTCAAGAGAGATTTCGGATCGTTGAAACCGCAACTCTTGTAACTGTTCACGAAGAGAATTGAGCTCACCATTATTGGTATCATCATTATTTCTGAGTTCCCTTGTGGCGATAGGAGTAAGGATTGCTTCCTCAGAACCATTTCGGAATGTTATCTCATCATCGTCTTCATCTAATTCATTTTTCATGATGAGCTCGTGCCAAAATCATATTAATACTTAACACATTATCGCAGCACAAATCACTTGGCATAAATATAAAGGTTTAAGTTGCCTTAGAGATTAGGGTGATTGAAAAGTAACAAGTTACTATTCAATATAAGGCACTGACACAGGGTTAGAGTGAGGAAACATTTCAAGAGTTCATCTGCTGTCAATAGAAAACTTTGAATTAAATATTTCATGCGAGAAACAAAATTACCTAGAAGAAAAATCATTCATCAATCACGTTTTCTTATCTCACTTTAAAGTATAATAAATAACAACATTGAACTCGTTTGATATCGTGTCAGACAGTACCTTGTGTCAGTTTCCCTTGGTTTAACATTATAAAGCTTGGTATTACATGTTTGATTTCAGTATTTGTAGTATTACATAATTTTAATATCAATATTGATATACTTTCAATGTGAAATGAAGAAATGTTACACACGAATTAGGTCACGCTTGTTATTCTCTTTCATGTTTTCGTTAAGAATTTCAGCATAAACCTTAATATCAACAAAAAGTTCAAGAAAAAAGCTAAATCGGATTGAAACGGAGTTTCTTGATTTTACCTTTGAAACAGTGTCGGGCGTTAAAAATTTTCTTAACATCAAACAACTAAAGCTTTTATTTTGTTGGTGATTTTAAGTGATACTTATTGAAGTAAAAAAGATTTTCATCTGAATTGGAACTCTCTGATGCTGGAGGTTATTATTGACTTATTGAAAAGGTCGTGATGGATATTTAAAGGCCATATTTGATGCCGTCTGGGTATTTTCCATATTGAACATAAGGACAATAATCCTATGTATTCACAAAAAATTTGAATTTCGTCATATTAAGATTTTAAGTGATTCGATTGAAATGTTTTTTTTATTCTTTTCACATACATGAAGGTGTTCGAATCCGTGTATAAAACTTGTTAAGTTTAAGATTGTGTGGATAATTCGAATGTAAGATGAGATCTGTTTAAAGTTACCATGTCGGATTTGCTCATGAGAACTTTGGGTTATGTTTTATAATAAGTGTCAATTGAATAAGTGAAAACAAAATAATACTACAAACTTTTTGCAATGATAGAAAAGTGTAATCGTGCGTGGTGGTTCTTGTTTCTATTAATTATTTCTGAAAGTTTAGTGTACTTGTAAACAACTGGAAATTAATCAAAACCATTTTTAATTGAAAAACATCCTGGTTTATGATTACATAACAAGAATTGTAGAAGGTATTAGTCTGTAATAAACTGTTTCTAAAACATAATGATGACTGATAGAATATGCACTATATTCAAGATAAAATTGGAAGACATAATCTGTGATATGCATAAACCATCTGTCTGACAAAATTCCATCAATAGAGTTTTTATGCTAATCTTCCAATCGATTCCACTATTTTACTGCCAAAAGAGATAAAATGATATTTAGATAATTGGTATATCTGATGTCAGTGGAACCAGGTTGCTGTGAAAATCGAATATTCCTGCAATTATTGTAATGCCAACAGTCTGGATTTTATGTTTATGTTCTTTAAATTAACAATTATTCTGAATTTATTCCGGGTGCTGACTTAAAGAAGAGAAACCAGAAGAAACGTTGGTAACATTTTCAAGGTAAGGGATCACATTTTCACAACCAAACCTGACTTTCTGTCAGGAACATGAAATTGGTCGTGTCAATATTACCAAGGTATAGGGTTAGTAAATGCCATCTATGTAATTGTATATGTAATTGTATCAAAATTGTGAAGTAATTGAGGTAATTGCGTTGCTGGGGATTATATTGCCACAGGAACAGTGCTGTAAATTGAAACTCTTTACTCTTTTGTTATTATTATATCCCATTGTTACATGCCTGTATATATTTTTATGCTTTGTGTCCATGGTATTTCATTTGTTAAATTTTGTACACTTGATATCGGTCAATGGAATCTTGTCGAAAGGTCGTGTTTAAGAAATAAAGTGATTCTCATCCATTAAGACTCATATTCTATACTTGTGTGGTACATTCTGTTAATTCAATTTAGAACAAAAAAGTGTCAGGAATATGTTTTAACTCAAAAAATAAATCTGACATCACCGATATTAATTTAGAAAGCAATTTGGAGATTGACCAAGAGGCATCTATTTTGGTATAATTTAAGATTTTAAATTTCAGTTTACTTTGACCATGTCATTTTTCCTTCCGGCCTGTCTCATGATTATATTATTTCTTACTTAATCAATTATTGTCTAATTTCAACAGCATGTAGGCTTATTTACTTAACATAAATGACATAAATAACAACATGGATTATGTTTTGGTCATACACAACACAGACACATTTCTTATTTACTCACTATTCTGGTGTTATAATGTTCACCAATTCCCCTGTGGGAGATGTGTCATTTCCTGTTAACTCTTTCTGGAATTGCAGGAACCACATTCATCAGACGAAGAATTGGACTGCCCCAAATAGAAGTCATAAGTGTCCCCGATGCAGATAAAAAAGGAGACTTGAAAACGTCTTTACAACCCTTTTAAATGTGGAATTTTCTTTGAATCAGTTTCGTTTTAAAACCTGGACTTGCATACTGTCTAAATGTTTGATAGTAAATTTGTGGTCTTTCTAATGGCATTAAATATATTTGTGAAACTTCTCTATTTTCAGTGCTATTAGCAGCTAACATATTTCCGCTTCGTTGACTAAACGCAAAGAGTTATTCAAGTTTTATCTTCAAATCCGAAATGGCTTCCTTTGATATTCAAACTTAGTCAAAAAAAAGAAACATTATTTCTCTTTTAAGTTGATTTTTACGTCTGATATATCCCGGACAAAATTAAATAAAGGAGAAAATACTCTATTTTGTAACCAAATTTGGTTTCTTTTTGTTAGTCATCGTACGATTTGAACAAAAAAGTTTCGTTAATCTAAATCTAAAGTAGTATAGTTGTGGACTCCTCCAAAGAGAAGTACCATCAGATGTTTCGAAAGAAAAAGCTTCGAACGCGACATCCGCCACTAATATACAGGTCAACATCATGAGATACAATCAGACCAATTTAGGCCTGATGTGTATATTTATACGTCCACGTGAAAATGTGTGAATATCTTGGACGACTTGACTTTGCGAACACGTCAAAAAGAGCTCGTTGATGAGAGGTCCGGACGAGTTCGAAGTTGACGATGTCTCGATTAAGTGAGGTTTTGAGTTATTGGCCTTGACTTAAATCAGTTTAGAAAGTTGTCATCAAATTTGGCTGAATTCTGGTATGCCTTGATGTGTCATTCTGGCTAAATTTTCAGTAACTCTATACAAATTCGTACCTTGAACGAGTTTGCATTTGAACTGGTTTGAAACTGGTTTAGATCTTTTGTTTATTGATGTGATCAGGAAAGAATTTTAAAAGTTGATAATGGTTCATTTTACCCATGACCGAAGTAAACTTAGTGTAGAATGCAGAACAACAGCAGTTTTCATGCATTTTGCCCCCGGCCAGTTGCAAGTTGACATTATTGTAATGAACGGTTTATTATGTGCTTTTCCCTTTATTTTGTTAGTTTTTAGAAACGGAGTGGCGATATCTCCCCACATCCCCGCACACACACCCTTGCTCACAGAGGGAAAGAATTGCTGTTGGTGCCCCTTCAAAACTCTGTGGCCCCAACTCGGCCCCTTCACCTAATGATTTTTGGAAACATCAGTGCATAGAAACTATTATTAGATTTGATATTACCTGTATACTATAGAAATATATATTAAAAATGTGTTTGTGGAACATTGATGTAGCTTCTGGCATAGTTCATGTTCAGTTCACGTTCCAATTTTGTACATTATTGTATTTTGAAACTTAAACCAGGCATTGTGTCGGAATAAAGGAGCTGTGATAACAAATATCTACAACAGTGTTTTCGTCTCTCTTTAACAAACTGTGTAATTAAATCTTCAATTATATATATAAAAAAAACTTACCAATTGAAGTAATGGATGAAAACGTGCGAAAGAGAACGCAAAATGAAGTAAAACATATTTAAATTTGTGGTTTGACTTCCGTGGTTTATTTGAAACAATTCCTTTAAAGAAAAGGTAAATGAATGTATTTTGTAATTCAGTCTATGTTGTGACATGTCAATCATTGTGTATACAACATTGTCTTTAACCTCCTGACTATCTATTGTCCCTGTAATTGAACAGATATATTCAAGGATAAAGGATGAATAACCTTCGGATAACCCATTTTCTTCCAGATAACCAAATCAAAAGTAAGTTAACAATTTCTGTTGTTATGGCATTTATTTGACTTTGGTGTTATTTGGCTGTCTTAAAATTCATAGAAAAAATAGTATTGTATCCCCCGAAAAAGCGCCAATTAGATGAAATTTGTTAACATGAAAAAGATTAGCCGATAGGTTGAGGATAATGAAAATTATCAAACTATTATAATTTTAATGTGAAATATAAAATATCACCTACTATATACATAAAATGACAATCTAATTACTAGTTAATTTTAAAAGAATAAATTTGAACTCATATCCTTGATTAATTAATTAAGGGAGATAATCATTAGGTTATTATGTACAGCTATTAATGCCAATAATTATCAATCTGTAATGATACTATGGATAGCTATTGATGCCAATAATGTTTTATACTAAATTAACAATCAGTTATATTTACCATGTTACATGTTTAACAATCCGTACTAAAACAAGATACAACTCTATGAACAGATATCTGAATATTACTTAAAATAAATCACTTAAATTATTTTATATCAAAAGTTGATTATACACAAATTCATTGTAACAATAATGAAGTTTTACATTTCGAAGGCAATCGGCCAGTGGCGTTTCCAAGAAACAGCAGGTGAGGGGGCCGAACTGGGGCTACAAAATTTTCCAAGGGGGGGGGGGGGGGGCACAGGTCTTTCTGTCACTATGTAAAGTGATAAAAAATTTGTAAGGGGGCCAGCCTCTCCCCCGGGTCCCCAGTGGAAACGCCACTA